ATATATGAGGTCCCCTCTCAGTCATTTCTTCTCCAGGCTAAACAGGCCTAGTTCCCCCATCCTCATAATTGAGGTGCTCCAGTCCCCTCATCATCACCATAGTTCTCTACTGGACCTGCTCCAGTAGTTCCTTGTCTTCCTTTAGCTGAAAATCTTCAGAACTGGACAAAGAACTGCAGGTGAGGCCTCACCAGGGCTGAGCAGAGGGGCAGGATCTCCTCTTTTGCCTTGATGGCAATGCTCTGTCTAATGCACCCCATGATACCACTGGCCTTCTTGGCCACAAGGGCACACTGCTGGCTCAAGGGCAGCTTGTTGTCCACCAGGACCCCCAGGTCCTTCTCTGCAGAGCTGCTTTCCAGCAGGTCAGCTGCTTTTCCAGTCTGGGGTTATTCCTCCCCAGGTGCAGGACCCTGCACTTGCCTTCGCTGAATTTCAGACAGTTCTCTGCCCATCTCCCCAACTTGTCAAGGTCCTTCTGAAAGGCTGCACAGCCCTCTGAATTCCCAAGGTTTGATCCTGAGCCCACTATTGTTCAACTTGTTTATCAGTGACTTGGATGAAGTGGCAGATGCCTCTTCAACAAGTTCACTGATGGCACAAAGCTGGGAGGAGTGGCTGATAACCCGGACGGCTGTGCAGCCCTTCAGAACAATAGGGAGTTTTGTTGCCAATTTCAGCACCGATGAGCCTCTAATTGCTGTGTTGCTTATTCGAAGTGGTTTCTTTCCACAGATAAGGACTGGCAGATCGATTAGCTAACAGGATATAAGTTTTCATTTGCCTCACAGTATAGTATGCATTTTAATCACTCATTCTAACCATCTCCTTGTTTGTAATTTATCTTTGTGTCCAGGTATAAGCACTGTTTCTGCTAAGACTAATGAAAATGCTTTTGTCATGGCTGCTATCTTGGTAATCTTATCTAAGACTTTCTCACTGCTCAGGGTGTTTTGGTGACTACATTTATTGTTTGTTTCAGAAATAACACTGTGTTCTTCATTTGCAAAGTCAAAGTGTCAAGTAGAAGATGTCAGACAGTCATTCAGTGAAGTTCAATAGTCTTAAAAGAAATAGATTAACATCTCCCAGCAGCAATTTTAAACACTCCAGTTTTAAAGACACGTGTTGCACTTCAGCATTTCTGGACAGGAGATGCAATGAGTCAGTAAAAGATCCTGATGCAGAACATAAAGAAGCACTGAGTGTAACAAGCATATCATTGCTACAAGAGCATTCTGAGCACATGGGTTTGAATGCTCTCTTGTCTGTGTCACCATTTATTGAAAAAGAATTACATTCTATCTCGTTATCAGAAGGAAGACACTCAAATAGAAGTGCACCGTTCTTTGAAACGCCTAAATCAGGTGCAAAAGGCTTCTTGCAACGCAGGAGGCTGCTTTTACCTAGGAGTGTTCAAGATGGCACAACCTCAGAATGCTGTGAAAGACAAGATTCTTTGGGAAGTATCAGTAAAAAAATTTTCTCTTGTGTTCTGAGCTCTGAAGAAAAACTTTCACAAACTGCTGCAGGTTCTCCAAAAGGTAAAACTTATGATCTTCTGACAAATAGCACTTCAAAATGCGAGGACTCTAAATCTGATTCTCCAAAACGTAGGCTTTCCTTTTCTCAACAAAGGACTTCCACACTAGAGTCCCAGGGTAAGGACCCTTTACTGCTGGAATCAGAAAGTTTGTCTCCAATTCAGTGTAAGGATGTTATTGTTGGTAATGCTGATGAATTCAGTGAAAGTGTTCTTGACAGTGGTAGTGATGGGGTGCTCAGGACTCCTACTTACAACCTGTTACCTGAGGCCAATGAGGGTAAGTTCCTGACTTCTATCAACAGTCTTGTAGAGAACTTGAACTTTGGGCTGTGTGACATAAACTCTCCCTCTGTTAAGGTGGCAAATTATCCAGATCTCTCAACACCTGAGGACAGCGGGTATAATTCACTTCCTTTGGACAAATCGGGAGACTCATTTTCTGATCATGAGGGATCTTTCCAACAGCTCTTCCAAACACATAAAGAAGATTCCAAACTTCCAGAGAGTAAAAGAAAGAGCAGAAAACTCGAACGAGTGAGAAGGTTATCCACTCTTCAGGAACAGGGCTCACAATCAGAGACAGAAGATAATCGTGGTGGTCCTACTTCAAAGCATATACTAACAGAAGGAAGACACTTTGTCAGTGAAGATCATGAAATAGTTCTAAAAGAACAGCCTAGTGGAGACCTGGTCATGGATCTCTCAAGAACTCCAGCTCTGAAAATAGTTCATGACATTTGCTTGCAAAGACAAAGATCTGACCAAAAGCAAATATCAGGGAAAGTTGATGGAACAGAAATATTTGCATTAGATCATGTTCTTGCTGGACTTATTGGGAAGAAAATGGGCCTTGAAAAATTAGACATTTTAACAGAATTAAAATACAGAAATTTAAAACATGTTCTTGCTATAGTTTTAGATGCTTTGACAGTGGAAAGTCTATGCAGGTAAGTACTATTGCTTCACGCACAAAAGAAAGGAAAAATATCTGTTGCTGCAAATAAATTAGAGTTAATTCTAAAATAGCAGGTATTGTCAATAGAATCTGTTTCTGAGGAAATTAAAAAGTTTTGTCACTATTAACCAAGTTCTAAAAATGTATTATATAGGAGGACTACAAGAGGAAAACAGACATGAAAAATAGTAAGCTTAAAACTAAATCACAGTACTTTTAAAATATATTCAAAGTTCCTTTAAATCTAAAAAGTAATTTGTTCCCATTGCGAGTTCCTCAATAATGCATAGTACTCAAAATACGTTTTCTAGATTTTTTTCCCTTGCATATTTAATTTCCTCAGTTATTTCTAAGCACAAAGATGCTCAAAGAATCTTGTTTCATGAGTAATCTTCTAGATTAATTTTTAATCAACAGAAACTGTCATACCTCAGAGAAATCAAGAGTTTTGTGTTATTTACAAAGAGAATGGGTGAGTAGCTGGAAGTATAAGGGCACATTTTGTTTTCAGATCACTACACACAAAAATGTGACTTTAGAAACAATCTTGGTGTAAATGGCTTGTGTGGAGGGGAGAAACTACATTTTGTAAGTCAGAGATATGCTGTGTTATTGCAATTGTTCTCTCAGCTCTTGTTATCCTATCCAGTGGTGTGTGAGAGCACGAGCTCTGTGGTTCATAACAATATGGTGAGCTAGGATAGAGCAATATCTGTAAAATGACCAAGAGTATATGAAACCATGCAAAAATCTTTACCACTTAGTCTTACTGTTGTGAGTTCTGCACTACTTGGAAATGTGTGAAAGTGGGTAATTGTCTTCATTAATTTGTTCCAGCGTTTGGAAAGTAAGCAAAAACTGGCGTGAAATCATTGTGCAAGATAGAAGTGCAGATAAGAGGAGAAAGTCGTACATAAAACACCTGACGGAAGAAGCTGGGGTAAGGCGGTTCTCAAAGGCTAATATTTTTTTCAAATGTGAAAGAAGACAGGTCAAAGGAAAGAGGAAACATCTTGTAAAGCTACAGAAAAGTGGCTGATAGAAACAGTTACTGTCTGACTGATTCTGACTTAAGTTTTTAAACTCTGTTCATACCATTGTGCCCTGCTGTTCCTCATTTTCCATTTCACTCTAGTCTGCAGTGCTGTAGGACCCACTCTAGATTATTTCCTGATTGCTCAGGACTGCTTGTGGCTAAGCTTCAGGGTGTTTGTGAACATCAGAAGGACATAGAGAAGTTTTTAAGGGGTACCTAGAAAAGTAAGCACATTAATAGCATGATTTTTTTCAGATCGTCCATATGCAATACACTTCAGTGTAACCTTGCTTTAATTGTGACAAAGCCTGTTTGCTTTTTCCATTCTTGCTTTTGAGGTGTGTCCTAATTCAGAAACATGAGGACCAGCAGAGTGCTAAAAGACAGTGCTAAAAGGCTTTTTACCCTGATCATGGGACTTTGTTTTTCCTGTGTCTTTATCCCTTACTAAATCTAAACATTTAATGGGAAATACTTTTCTAATTTGTTGTTGCAGAGGGAAATCAAACAAGTGAAATCCAGCTGCAAATCTCAAAAGAAATAAAACCCTAATTTGATTCCTTTTTTTTTTTTCCCCTTTATATTTCTAAACTAACAGGAATATTTAAGGAAAGCTGAAGATGCTGCCACAAGACTTAATATTCTCAACAGATCTGCTCTAAGGCCTGTTCAGGCTCAAGCCAGAACTCCTGTGTCACAAACACCACCTTCACACAAGGAACTCACACCCAGGAGATGCAGTTCTCTTCCCCACTCAACTAGTAGACAGGAGGAATACATGAAAGTGGGTATCCAAGAAATATTTCACTTCCAGTTTTCAGAAAGTTTTTGTTTATAAGAACTAAGTATCTCTTCTTCCTCTCCCCTTGCTACAGGTTGCTAAAACTCTGTTCACAGATGAAGCTCTAAAACCCTGTCCAAGATGCCAATACCCTGCTAAATATCAGCTGGTAAAGAAATGGGGACTGTGCAGCAGAGAGGCATGTGCATTTGAGTTCTGTATTTTGTGTCTGCAGGCATTCCATGGGTCCACTGAATGTAGCAGTTTATCTGCAAAACGGAAGAATAAGAGAGATGCTCTACCAGGAAGTGCCCAAAGCAAAAGAAATTTAAAAAGACTCTGAATTTGTAAGGCATGCAAGTCCTTACATTTAGTTCCTCTTCCCCCATGTTTCTAAGCTTGTTCCTGTTCTTCCCAAACACATAGGTTTAGAAAGCCTCATTCATTTAGTTCTTGCTGACTTACCAAGGTAACTTCTCATGCGTATGTCTTAATCATTTTACGATGTTGCTGTTTTTTAAAAAAATGAACCTTTAAAAGTATTCTATGTCTTGTTTTACCTGTTGTGTAGTAGCTAGGCACTTACTAACATCTTAGTTTTTTAATAAAGTATCTTAAATGTAGTGTTCAATATTCAGCTTATAGCACCTCATACATGTTTAAAAAAATGTGGTTCTTGTCTTAAGAACAAATTAAAGAAAAATATTTTTTACAAATCTTTGCAATGGCATTTATTTGTTCATTTGAAATTGCAGTAACTTTAAGAAATGTCTCTAAGTGGGGCACGAGGTACCTCTGAAAACAATACTTTTATTTTTATCAGTGGTGACACCTCAAAACCAATATATTAGTTGTCTGAATTTTTTATCAGAATAATGAATTTGTTGTTCTCTTAGCCCCTGTAATGCAAGTCAATAGAATAGTAATTTCTGAACGAGGCTGATGCTGTGTGGATATTCCACTGTACTGCTTTTTACAGAGTTTTTGTCTTGAAAACCTCTGGTGATATATGTTCACATCTCTGAAAATGCTCCGGCATTACCATTGATGTTGTGAACTTACTTTTATACTTAATCTGAGTTGACTTCAGCTCCCAGGAACTACATAATCTTCTGCTTGAATTAAAGGATTATCTAAGGCTAGAAATCATTCTTTCTCTATGTGTAGATTTAATTAAGGGAGTTCACTGAATTTGCTCTTGAACTAAATATGCTAATCTTTTACAGAAAACTAACTCAATCTGCCGCTTGGTTCTCAAATTATTTTTGTGTGGATTTTTGTTGTTTTCTATTTTTTGAAACCTCCTAGCAATTATAAACAACTCAAAATACAGAAATGGACACAGTACTTCTTCTATGAAGATAGAATATCAATTTACTTCTATAATTGATTGTCCTACTTGTCCTTTCAAAGAGTTCATTTGTCACAAGTGTCTTACATTTCTTCCCTGTTCTCCCTCTGTTGTTGTTTTGTGATGAAATTTTATTGTGTGCATTTGTAGGTAAGCCTTAACACTTAGTAGTCTAATTTTTAAAAAAATCCTTCAGGTAAGCAATAAGCTGCATAGTTGTCTCTAATATTTATTCACACATCCCTTTATTGCCTGAAATTGACAGCTCTTTGCTTTCTACTCCCTTTTCCTCTGTATCTGTTAGAAAATCATGTTTATTGCATGAATATAAGACACCTTAATTGTCTACTTATTTGTGTTTGCTGAGATTTTCCATCATCCTTGTCCCAGGTTGGACTGGTAGCACTTGAAGACTTTTGTGTCTATTCTGATGTAACAATTGAGGTGAAGGATTTGGGGCCAAACTAGGGAATATAGAGGTATGTGTATGTAGGTTTGATTTAGGGAGAACAGCATTCATTACAGAGGAGGAGACTGCAAGTGGGGAAATTGTTAAATGACTCGATTTGTTCAATATTTGTGTTTGCCTAATTGTTTAGAACTTTAAGTGTTCAAGATCTACTTGAAAATTAGTTTGCTTTAAAGATCCGTTGGATTTGTTCTTCTATTCTTAGGTATAAAGTAACTGTAAATTTTAAGAAATGTTTAGTATTTTCTATTAAAGGTTAAACTGACATGATGAACACATTTCTAGGCAGGAAGTCATATTACACAGGAATCTGAATGCATATAGATTCTAATAACTTATTTTGGATTAGTTTTGCTTCTTATTGTTGAACTATCAAATAAAATAGGGGATAGTAGTAACAGCAATGCTGAAGTACTTCATGTCAACATGTCAGACTGCTATAGGCATCACTGCATTTTGCCTTTGCTAAAAGCCACTATATCTAAAATGTCTAAAAAAAAAAAACCAAACAAAAAAGGCAACTTTAAATGCATTATTGAAATTGATGGGAGACTTATGCCAGACAGTGAGAGGATTTCGCTCGCCTAATGTGGAGTATTGCAGTCCAGTCCAGAAATACATGAGGTGCAAGAATTCTGGAAGTGTTACTGAAATAGGTGCACCTTTGGCGGGAAAGCTGTGTGGAAACTTAGTTCCCAAGTCAAGAATCAGTTATTAAGTATCCTTTCAATTTCAAAAAATTCTGGTAAGAGTTGTGTGACCATTTCCAGAGAGTTTTCTTTCGCTAAAATCTGAATAACGCAGGGAGAATAGGGGTGGTAAATTGGTTTTGGTACAGGCACCATTTGTCTTTTAAAGGCAGTATCTTTGATGTCTGCATTGTTCATTCAACAAGGAGTAACTTGAAAGAAAACTACTTAAATCCTATTTCACATTTTTAAATGTTTTTCTCCCTTTTGGCATATTTAGAAGTTATTTTGTTTCCTTCTAAATCTGCTTCACAAAAATGTCTTCTCGAATCGCATGTCTCTTATTCAGTTAGGCCTATCACAAATGTAACTGTGCTATGGTGTTCAGATGGAATGTGTTCTTTGCTGTTAGCCACTGCTACACCAGAGGTGGGGGCAAGTGAGAACCAGACATTTCTGGATAAGTGTCCTCTCTATGACAGTGATGGGTTTTTTGATTTCTTTAAAATGAAATTAGCTTTATGCCGTGACACAAAGGAGAAATAAAATCGTGATATACTTAATGTGTGGGTAAATAATAGCACACCTAATAGAACACAAAGTATGTTATAGTTATCTAGTAGCCTCTAATAGTTTGGGTGCAAGGAATCAAAATTCTTTCATTATATGATTGCTTTATTGACAAATTAAGTATTTGGGGTAGGAGAGTGGCAGTAATATTTCTGAGTCCCTGTTAGTATGTTTGTTTTCTGTATCCTGTATCCCTCAATTAGTATCCACCAGATACCACAAAGCTTTACGAGTCTGGACTTGAATGAAACAGCAGAGGAGAACATAAGTCCTTACTTCATAAAAAAACAAACACCTAACACAAAAGCAAACAACCCACACCCCCAACCAAACAAACCCCAACCTCACCTCTTCTTCCCTCCAGCAAAACAAAAAACTCAAACACAAAACAGCTTATGAGTACCAGGGAATCTAGGAATTCACATCCAGCATCTTTCCTTTTCTATTGGGCTGAATTAATTCTCAGGCACCTGAGGTCAGGTGCTAGCACAGGGAAGGATGCAAAAGTGCTCCTTGGGTAGAAATTACAATGGTCAAGAGTTTTCTAAAACATCTTGCCCATGATTATTCTCCAGCTCAAGAATTCATCTTACAGTTGACAACAGATCATTGGAAAGGGAGGATTGAATTGGTCTTTCACTCTGGAATATGGGGATAATGTTCAAGATAATATTAGGTTTATTACTGGGCTGCTGAAAACCTTATTTCTGCAATCCTTATTTCCCTTCAGACAGGCATGATCTATAGTGAGAGGAGTGATACTGACTGCAAACACCCAGGGAATGGATTTAGTTTTCTGAAGATGATGGTTTGAGCCAGAGCTGTGGGTTTAAATTCTAAAAAAGAATTATTAGAAGTGACCTTTTGCTGCTGACAGATGTTGCTTCAGGAATTGTACTTCATAAATCTTTTTTTTCTGGAGCAGCAACCATAAACCTCAAGTGGTTCGTGAGAAGGAAATAGAAATTACTTAAGTCTCTGATCATTCTTTCCTTGGTGACAAGTATGGAAGAGCTTAGGCAAAAAATTGTTATAAATCTTTTGAACTGTTTATAGTCTAGAGAATGTTCGTATGTTTTATCACTAACTAGCTAAAAATGATTAAAAATTTTGTTCATTAAATCAATGAGTTCATCGACATCTGTCAGATTATTTTCTTATTCCCTGTATTAGTTACACTTTAGAACACCTTTTGGCAATTTAGGCCATGTGGGTTAATTTTAATATAAGAAGTAATTCTTTTCTTTCTGTTTTCTTAGGGACATGAGGAAGTACAGCAGTGTCAGATTAAAAAGAGACTCCTGGAGTCTAGTGCCAAGCTCTTATGTCAACTCATCAAGTTCTATCTTAAAACTAGATAGAATACTATCCCATGATCATGTTGGTGACCTATTCTTGATTGCTCTACTAGTCACTTAACCTGTTGCCTTCTTAATAGCATTGCTTTTAAAATAGTTTTCCGTACATTTGATCCTCCCTTTAGACTTTTTTGCCCTCAATATTATGATTGTTATTTCATTGACAAAAAACTCTGAATTTCGTCTCATGTCTTAAGGCAATCCAGCAACAGAGGTTGTATCTAACAACTCTTCAGTGTTTCCACTGGGCTCTGTCCTTTGAGTCAATGCAACCAGTATTCTAGGTGAAACCTCTGCAAGAGCTTGAATAATATCAAGGCTTTCTTTTCTCTACAAGAAATCCTTTCACCAATGCATACTAAGATTAACATTTCTTTTAGATGTCTTCTGCACACTCACAGTTTAGTCACTAGGTGTAATTGCTCCCACATTCTCAGGAATTTTGAAAAGATCCCAATTTTTTCCATAAATTTCTGATGAACCTAAAGTGTGTAACCTCATACTTTGTACTGCTAAGTTTCAGGCTTTTTCTTTCTTTGCTTCAGTCTTGTGAGGATTTAGTATTTGTTGTGATTATATTTTTACAGGTGTGAAATTTTTTGTTTGTACTGAATCTTATAGGATTTTTTTAATGTGAAACATGTAGGAGATTCTGTTATCACTTGTCAGATGCCCCAACAAAATCTGACTGTGTCTTGGGAATGATGTATTTATTTGTAGTTAAAGAAAAACAAAGCTTGCTTTCATTTTCTGACTTTCTGAGGTCTGATTAGTTGAAATGGTCATTACAAAAAGACAACACATTTTTTCCTCTTGACTTTGACAAGTTTCTGTGGAGTGTTAGAACCTACTGAAACTTGTTGGAAGCCTAAATGCTAGTAAGACCTTATTGGGCTAATGTTAATG